CAACCGAAACTCCAGACATTCGGCAAAATGCCTTCAAACACAGACTCAAACTCCCGCAATCGTCTTCGCCTACGCACACGCCGGCGAGCACACCACGGGGAGACGTCCCGCAACTACACCGGCCTTTGCGGATTAGCGTACCAGGTGGTAACGCATCACGCGACGACCCTCCGGCAACTGACGCGCCAGTGATGGACACGCCTGTCAGTCCACGCAGTGAGACGGCTCAAGATCTCGGTGGGAATCTCGGTGAGATGGCTCAAGATCGCGGTGAGACGGCTCAAGACAGCGACGCGCCTGTTAAGCGTCTTCAAGTGGTGGACCTATTGCATGTGTCCACTTCTGGCTCTGACCGTCCTAGCATCTCGGCAGTTGGTGACTTCAACGCGCGTAATGCAGCACAAAATTTGCTGTCGACGTGGCTCGCCAAATCGACGTTTCTCACGGAGTCGGATGCGGCTGATTCCAAGGCTCGCTCAGTCGTCACTGTTACTCCTTCGGCAGCGAGTCAAGTTCCTCCTGTTCAATTTACGTCGCCTCCAAGTTATTCACATTGCTCCACCACGCAATTCGTCGGTGTGCCAGCTTTCGATGTCGATCGTCTGGGTACGGTGCTCCTGCGTGCAGGCTATGGCGGTCTCGAGAATCTCGTCGAGATTGAACACTTGAGCGACCAAGACAGGGCTGACTTGTCGAAATTACTCAGCGAGGACCAAGACATTCAACGAGAGCTGTTGGTACCTCGTGATGCATCGGTGGAGTTAAACCCGAGTGACTTCCGAAATTTGATGTCTGGCATTCCAGCACAACGGGAATTGGCAGCACTCTTGCGGGTGTATGAGCCTCAGGGTCTGGCTCGCTAAGTATTCGGGATGTCCACACTCCTAAATCACATGCTAGATCGGCACCGTATCTCTCAGGTTGCTTGCACTCTGGGTACCTCCAAGACCACGCTCGAATTCAACAATTCTTCAGACGATGCTCGCAGCGCGCGTCGAGACTTCGCTCTTCTCGAAAAGGCTTTCAAACAACAAGTGGTTTGAGATTTTGGAGCAAGGTCGGAGTCGACTTTCGGAAAGTGCCTGCGATTTTCGACGTGCAGCAGAAGTCCACCCCTGCCAAGAGCAAGTCCTTCGGGATGAGAACGCCGAGTTACAGCGTCAGCTTGAGGACTATCGCTTGGTCAACCGGCAACTTGAAGATCGACTGCGCGGTGGGATGTTCAAGGCTGGTTGTGTGATGAATTTCCTAAATCGTCATAACGCTCGGGTTAGCGGCAATTGGCCGCGCCTGAAAGCACTGCTGGAGAAGTTCAAAGACGGCTCACTTCCGCCTGACGCCTGGAAGACTCAGATCCAGATCAACGCGGCTGACGAATTCGACGCCGACCCGGGCGCTTACGAGTACGAAGTGGAGAGTGACGATGAGGAATCCGAGGTCCCTGAAGTACCCAAGCCTCAGGTCACCCTGAAAATTTCTACAGTGGACCTCACTGGACCATCCTCTACTGAGTCTACCCCAGCCAAGATTCAACGCCAGTTATTCAGTGGATCTAAACCCAAGGCTCTCACGGATTTTCAGCTTCGACCCAGTGTTTACACTCCGAGCATGACCGACACCCTGGATCCCACGACGGCCAAACAGCTCTCGGTCACCAAGGCACGCGAGGGCTTGACGCAATCCGTCATTTGGGACAAGCTTCGTGCGGACATCCAGGAACTTATGCGGTCGCACATGTCGTACGATGAGGCTCTTGCTGCAGCTCGGACCGACGCTGAGATTCACTCACATCTGGATGCCCGACATCTCATCTCCATGTTGGTGCGCATCATCTACTGGAAAAGTCTGTACAAGACTCCTTGGGCCAAATACGTTCCGTGTTGGTGTTACAAGGAAGATGAATCCAAGCTCACAAAGGCTCTCACTTCAGGTGAAGTTCCCACACGTTGGCCTAATTTGCGCAAGGACATCCAGGATGACGCTGTGGAAATCATGGCGGCGCTTTATGACAGTGTCACTGAAAAAGATGATGATGAAGGGCGCGATGCAACCTTCTCCCCAGGCGATGATGGTCAAACAAACCTCAGCGTCGTACTTCTCCTCCTCGACAGGCGAAGCGTGGTCGTGACACCACTTCAGATTCGTCATCCTAAAGCAAAACCAAGCGTGCATCATCGCCACCCAAGAAGCGCGCTAATGCGGGTAACGGCAAGAAATCACGTCCAGGACAAGAGCGAAAGCAAACAGCTCCGGCGCGCAAGTGTTACAGCTCCCTGGGCGACTCCGAGAAATGGATCGTCGAAGTGCCGGGACAAGGTATCCTCTCGTGGCGTCACCATGGTGTCCTGATGAAGTTTCCTCCTGGCACGGCTAATGCAGTAACACAGTCATTCGGATTCCCAGACTACGCTCCCAATTTGGCCAAGGACGAAGATTTCCAGGCACTGCGAGAACGCTGGGATCCAGTCGCATTCAAGGGGCTTATGGACACGAAACCTTGGGACGTCATGTTTGAAGATCGCTCCAAGTTTCTGATCCTTCACGTGCGAGACAACCTGAAGGTCGTCGCTTGCGAATCTCTAGATGCCATAGTGGCATTCATGTCTGTGCATCGTCGTGCGATTTGATGGTTCGGGCACTGGGTGTTCATCGACTTGGAAACCGACGATCCTTACTCTGTGGAACTTCACCGTGAGCGCAAGGTCGAGTGCGACAAAGCCAAGAAAGAGCACAAGAAACTACTGGATGATCGAGTCGATGCTGGTCTTGAGAAGACGATTCTGGATGAACCTGGTTCTTGGACTATCCCTCCAAGTGTTGTCACTGGATATTGATGCATGAGTCGCACGTTAAGGACGACGGCACTCGCTACACCCTGAATGAGCAGATGGAGCTGTTAGATGACCCAGATCCAGCGCGTGTCCAGTGGGACACTTGCGCCTCGGATGAAGACCGCATCAAGCATCTCCCGGGGGAGAAGGATCAGAGTGGCGACCAGGGTGACGGCGCCCAGGGCAAGAATACTCCGTAGAAGAACCGCGTCACCATGCATTTCGACTAATTGACTCCTCCAGAATCATTTTACATGTTGCATGTCAGAGCATTAGCGTTAATATCCAGAATACAACTGTCATTCACCTCTTCAAAGTTCACTGTCCTTCTTATCCATCGCACTGTACCCGGTACTTTCACCTTTTTCGTATCCATTTCAACACTTTTAGTCGTCAAGCAAATTCCACAGTCAGCATCCTGAATATCTCCACAATATAGTCGTCAAGTAAATTCCACAGTCAGCACCCTGAATATCTCCACAATTTTTTCACCACGAATCAAACACAATCATAATCGGTTCACATAGTCCCACGGTCCAAACGTCGTTCGGGATGACTACACTCTCGGGTGGTCATCCCCCGCCTGCATCGCCTGAAAACGAGCTCGGGCTCGCATTCCTTTGTTGAATTCATACAATAGTGATCCACAATTGAGCTGTGTCACCGGAATCCATTCTGGGTCATCGTACCCCTCCCATTTGACGAGGTATTCTCGAGATCGCCTCGCATTTCGGAGCGTTTCACCCATCGTACATCCTGAGTTGACTTCACTTCAAACACATCATTCGAGCTGTCCGGCTCCCAACTGTCTTCAGGCAATAGCGCCGCATCGAAATCATCATTGTCTGCAACGTCAACCTCGACCGTTGGTCTCTTCGGGAAAACTACTCGCGGCTTGAGTCGGCTAATGTGTACCCAAGGGTTTACACGATAACCTATATCTTTCACCTTCAGTCTCACACGGAAGTCATCCAGAATTTCATCGATCCTGAATGGTCCTGTGCTAACTTCCGGCTCAATCCAGCCTGAACTTTCGAGATGTACAGCCAAACGGAGTCCCCCTTCTCAAAACCAGCCTTGACCCTCTCGGAGAGTTCCAACCACTTTCGGGTTTGCTCATCCGAGCGCATCTTCTTAGCTTTCTTCTGGAGAACATCAGCGCAAGCGAGTGCGTAGCTGTATACGCTGCTGTTTCCGTCGCCATTCATATGCGCTACGCTCAGGAACGCTCGAAGGTTTTGGTCCTAACATTGCCGAAACTGTGTTTCGGGCGTCCCAACCGTGAACCAAATAGAAGGGGTATCCAATCTAGTCACGTCGAATGAGACATTCAGGGCGAACATCAGTCGCTCCGCATGATCATCCCAGTCGGACTGATCTATCTCGGCGACATATGCCCGAACACTCCGAATGACCGTTTGTAAAGATCTCTCCTGCTGTCCATTCGCCTGTGGACGGTATCCGAGTGTAGCACGTTGTCGGCTACCTAAGAGTTCTCGGAACCTCGTGAACACTTCACTCATGAACCGCGGATCCTGATCGTGTCGTATCATGGAAGACGCCCCGAATCTCTGGAACACTTGCTCTTCTTAAGCCTCAGCGACATCTTGAGCGGTAGTAGGCGACATGGGTTTACACATCGCATAACCTGAAAACATGTCTTGAAACCACAAGAGAAACGTATTCCCTCTGGATGACTCAGGCATATGAGTCACGAAGTCCATAGAGACTGCCTCAAAAGGATACCGTGGTTCGATATTTCCTGGCGAAGGCCCAGCGCTCGGAGGATCTCCCTTTCCACTGGCACAGTCCACGCACTCTTTCACAAAATGTTGGACGTCCGAATACATGCCGGGCCAGTAAAATTCGGTACGTAACTTCTCATGAGTCCGGGTGATCCCTTGATGTCCGCCTTGAAAATCTTCATGCGCATGATTCAACATGTCTTCCCGAAGTGAACTCGGGACTACTAATCTCAGATTATCCACGGCGTCTCGTGGTCTTCCTCGAACAGAATGCGGAAGTCTGTACAATACTCCTTGGTCATCCAGAACAAACAGATCTGCAATCTTACTGATCTTCTTCAGGCGTGTGGATGAGAACCTGTTCAGGTCGTCATTTAGGAACGCCCTTATCTCCGCTAGGTACTCATCACTCTCTTGATGAACCTTGATCCGTCTCCAGCGTTCAGCCTGAAACTCTAACGGCCCCATGGGCGGAACCACGTCGACCTCGTCGTCATCAACTTCTTGAGCTCGCGATCTCGTGAGTACTGCCATGACTCGGGCGGCAGAAGATAGAGGGGCACATTCAGGGCCAGGACCATGTCTCGTTCTTGAATGGCCATCTTCTTCACCAGAGTCTTGTATTGGGTCTCCACTGTGAACACGAGTGTCGGTGCCTTCTGACGGTTTCACCAACTGCTCGCGAATCTTAGACACTACTTCCAGGTGTCGTTTCTCGAGATCATCCTGAACAGTCCAGGATTCACCTTGGAGAAGAGTCTTCGATGTCAGATAATCAGCGGCCTGGTTGAACTCGGCTCACGCTTCATGTGTATCAATCGGACCGTCTGGAAACGTTTCGTAAGGGTTTCATATTCAGCTAGCCTCCTTTGGAGATTAGGCTTGTTACAATTAATCAGACCTTGGACTTGTTGAATCACAATTCTCGAGTCACCCACGACGACTATGTCCTGAATTCCTCTTTCCAAAGCCATCGCAAGCCCTTTAAGCAACCTAAAGTATTCCGCGTCGTTGACGGTGACTCCATCCAGGATATATCCTCGGGCATCTAGAACCTTCCATTCAGGTAGCTGCCACAGAATGCATCCGCAGCTGTCCTTCCTTGTGGACGGTTTGGCCGCACCATCGAAACTCAGGACTACTCCGGAGTACTCTTCTGAGAGCATTTCGACCTTACGACTGGAGGCGGTTTGACGCGCCCCTTAGCTGGAATGAGTACTTCGGCGACTTCATCCAAGTGCTCCTTGGGAGTGATACCTGCACCCATGATACCTGCGCCCATAATGGCGGCTAAACCATCCTCATCTCGACTGACCTTCCGAATTTCCAAGTCGTACTGTGAGAGAGCGACGCCCCATGGCACCAGACGGCCTTTGGCGGTCTTGGAATTGATGACCCATTTCAACACTTAATGGCGAGTGTAGGCCTTCGATCACGTTCTTGAACACGTGGAGCACTCGCATCACAGCGAGAACTTCCTTCTCAGCAATATGATACTTGAGCTCCGCATCACTCAGGACACGCCCCGTGGAACGAACCGGTTGAACTAATCCATCATGCATTTGTCCTAGAACTGCACAAGCAGCCCACTGATTTGCATGCGGGATGATCACAAAAGGTTTCGTCCGGTCCGGGTGCCTGAGTAGAGGTGTAGATACGATCTTCTTCTTCAGGATCTCGAAAGATTCCCTCGCCCGAGCCAGGTCTCGTCCTGCACGCACTTGGTCATCGGTCAGCTCATAGAGTGAAGCAGCTACCACGGCATAATTCTCAATGAATTTGAGGTAGTAATTCAGGCTGCCTAGAAATGACTGGACTCCTTTCAGGGTAGACGGAAACGGTAACTCCTGAATGTTTTTATGATCTTCGGGGTGGCACGTATTCCTTCAGCACTAATCTCGTGAGAGAGGTACGGTATGACACGCTTCCCGAACTCACTCTTAGGCAAGCTAACTGAGATACTCCAGTATCGTAACCGATAGAGCAACGCATCTAGATCACCGCATAGTAGATCCCACGTGGCCGCCCCATGCGCGATGTCATCAATATACGAACTGTGACCCAAGAATGGCCCTATTTGGGATGGTGCGGGAATATTACGCCTGAAAACCGTCATTTGCTCCACAAGTGGTGTCATGCTGCGGCCTGCATCCATTTCATCATTCGGTGACTGATGGAGAAGCACATACACAACTAAGCCTGTCATGGAGCGTTTGCATATGAGATGACCGACACAAGGTCATGGCGGAATGGGGATGTAGCGTCATTAACGATCTCAGAGGGAGGCCTTGCACTACATTAATCTACGGACGGAACTCATGGCAATGACGGTAAATATCGCATCAAAATTGGCGATTCATGGGAACGCTATAGCTCGCATCATTGATGATATATTCTTTGCATACGGGGAGCGGATCCATGCTACGGCGTTCTACATCACACCAGGCGCAACCACAGACACCTCGATTCCGTACGGAGGTTCACTTTGGATCACTGGGAAGGCAATAGTGGGGCAGACGGCTTCGACTGCTACATTTCCGCACTGCGGAGAGCTAGTAGCCAAAGTTGCTGGGGCTGTGTAGATTTCGGGTGGACTGACTTGGAACTGAGACAACAGATGTATGCGACTACAGGTGAACAGTTCACGTTCCATCGAAGTACAGACCTTGCTGCGAGAAAATCGGAAATACATCAGGGAACAACGGCTCGAATGTCTCACGTATGTCCAGGTGGATGCACTCAAACTAGTTAACGAGGCATAAGAAAGGAGTATACAGCTGCTGCATTCTCAGTATTATGCAAGAGAGGGGATTATCCAGGCGGCATTGTCCACGGGGGGAGTGAACACTTTCACCACCGTAAATTTAGAAACCATCACCATACAATTGAGTTCAGACACCAGACTGTTGAATGAGTTCACTCACCTGTAATATAACTTAAATCACCAGCAATTTTATAATTATCAACATCCTTACAGTTTATTGTGTCTAAGTAGAGCTGCTTGTAGTGTAGCCTACCATTTTTAGATTAGGAGTCTTATCTTGGTAACCACTATCATATTTTTCTCTTCGACCTTTCGGAATACTTCTATAAACGAAAGATGAAAAAGATGGCACCGCTAGACACGACCAGCGACGATGACGTACGTCGAATGCTTCTTTTGTGTAGCAAGAAAAACTAATTGTGTATGTACAGATGGAATCTAATAGTGAAGAGCAGCACATGGTATCTCGGGCACGCAGAACGTGGTCCCATGTATTTCGTGCAGCTCGAGATTCAACTACCACGTTAGGTTCTTTTCTTCTTTCCCTTCCAAGATTTAGGCGCCAAAAGAATGATCCAGCTCATTGCCAGCTTGATCACCTTGCGTATGATGAAGATGACCATTTGCTGTCTAGTCACCAAATGCGACGTATCATTACTAAGTGTACCAGCTCGCGCTGTCGTGCTAGCGGTAACCAGTGCAAGTGCGGATACAAACTTTTACTGTGTGAGTTGAGTAGTCTGGATTGTGTTAATGTTGAAGGCGATCACACAATGATAGACCCAGATGCACCTATCTCACCAAAAGCAAGAAAGGTGACTCCATCAATGAAAGAATTTATTGACTCGAAGTTAGAAGAAGATCAGGCCACACGGCCTATTGATTTGTTTGGATACATTTGTAAAAAATGTGGAGAATGGAAGTATGGAAGGCCCAACCCCATTTGATTCTCAAGTTCGGGGTCATGTTACAAACGGGCGTAAAAACACAAACGTGATGCAATGCAACCTGTGATTGATCTCTGTAAAGCTTCAATTCTCGGTGCTTTAGAGAATGTAGCAAAATCTGGAAGCAATTTGAATGTAACAAAATTGATGATCTTCCGGGACTTAAATGACCTCCACTATGCTCAAAATACTCATGAAAATTTAATTAAGCGAGACAGCATAATTGCGGCATGGCGATCAACATCCGAATTCTGTCCTTCTTTCCGACATGTTGCAAATCGTAGCATTGACCAATGGATTCTAAACCAGCGAATCTCAAGATGGCAATCCTTTCATAGCCTTCCCGGGTACGCGACCACAAATAATCCATTAGAACAGTACCATCGCACACTAACGCTGATCAACAAGTCACCTCGTGCGACCCCTGCAGAAATGATTGAGCGTCTCGACAAGTCCAGACTTGTTCTCATCAATTTATGTACTACATTCAGCAAAACTCCGTCTGTTTCACAGAGACTTAAAGCGCTTTACAATTCGTGTGAGCGAATGAAGGAGATTAAGGCTATACCATTGCCAACAAGTGTGGATTTACCAGTAGAACAAGTACAAATTGTTCACAAACCTCATAATAGGTACGGTGATGAGGAAAGTCATGATGCTGTTGAATATTTTTTTGAAAACGCAACAAAGCCCTCCAAGCCATATAAATCAATTCATGTTTTACGCATGCAGTGGGGTGATATGCCTAATGTAGGTTGGCTTGTGAATGCAGTGACAAGAACATGCTCATGTCGATTTAATTTCAAGTTTGGTATTTGTGTTCATGTAATTAAGAGCACCCAAATACTAGCCCTGCCTGGTCCAGGAATGCGCGATCCAATCGCTCGATTTGTATCTAATCAGCGCTGCAGAGGTAGTAATATGATCCAGAGACAGCGACGACGATCGCTTCGTCAAAGGAACCTACCACTTCTCATATTAGCGATACGGTACACGAGACCACCGAGCCTGTGTTTGGGCCACAGCCTCAGACATCCATACCTGATATTTACGATAGCACGTTTGGGCCACGTCTGTCCTACGAAGTCACATCTACAATCACTACTTATAATCAAGCATTAAGAAGCGATACCAGATTATCTCTGTTGGCTTCAGAATACGGAGGAGTATCTAACGAATCACAAGACGGATCACTATCAGCGTTTTTAACTGGATCTGAGTAACACGCAACAAACTGGAGTAATGCAACGTTACAAACGATACGTTCAATCGGGTTCATGGAATTATTGAGCGAAACTCACAAGGGCTTAGTAGCCATTCACACTGGACGTAGTGGTCAGCTTATAAGTGATGATCCCATGAATGACTATGGTATAAGCAGAGATTTAGATCGTTTACATGTTCTACATAGCACAGCCGATCAAGCCAACTAGCAGTCGATCACAGTAAGATCCACGCGTAGCCCAGCGACTAATCGAATGTCGTGCAATGAAACAAAGCGGCGCAGATTGTAGAAGAGATCAACATGGGTTACCCACACAATGCATCAATATAATGACACTTTATATTGTGTTGTTTGCGGATTACTGTAGACTTCGTCGTTCTTGCTATATGTACATATTTGTTCTTGTTGTTGGGTGTTCGTTATAAACTAAATCTTACTATGCACACGCCTTTGCTGTTATCGTTGAGTGCACCTTACTGTACATACACTTGGTCAATGGCGTTCTATTTGGTATTACGTTTCACTGGACAATCACCTTTGCTGGTGAATGACTGCTTGGGAGTGGTGATTATTATTGTCTAGCTGGTGATTTGTTCCAGTATAGTATATGGTGATTAGACTGTAAACTCTGGTGATATTTACAGTATTTGTGGTGACGATTCTTAAATTTGTAGTGACGAGTGTTATCCCTCGTCCACGGGGCACATGTTGACAAGGGTCAGTTAATTTTTACTGCGCTGGGTCGTATGAGTCAGCTTACTAGAAGACACTTGAGCCAACTGGAAGTGCTGGCGGGGTTACTGGCTATGCATTATCCACTTTTACGTTTTGAACGCGTTGATAGTGCTGCAGTGCGGCACATTGCGACAGGACCAAACGGGGGAAGTCCATCCGGATGATGCCATCCAATCCATCTTTGGACTCTCACATACTCTAAGTTCTTGATGAGCACTCGAGGAACACCGATGGGGGGTATACGGAGGTCAGTAGTAAACAGGAGACCACGATAGCCATCCAGGGAATACTAGGCAAGGGCACGAGCCCCCCCCCCCACTATGTTCCTTCCGCACCCGCTTGTGAGCAGATTGGTATGTTTGTGGGTTGGAACGTGGATATGGGAACAATGTCGACAGCGATACAAAGAGTATGCCGGACGGACAGCACGGAAACAGGGGTTGCACGACGTGACGCGCTGACAGCTAAAGTGGAGATATCATGATTCGCAAGGTGCGGTCGGAGTGGCATAATTGAAATTGAAGCAGCTCCGTAGAATTGTAGGACTCAATCCCTGGGGAGGCAGTTACTATATCGCCTCAAGAACCTAGCTTTGTCGCTCTACAATTCAGTAGCGGGACACAGTAATTGCCCGCACTGAGGATGTTTACAAATAACAAATGTTGACCTCGAGCACGTTTTCTGAAACTGCCCTACGTCTGCACAATTGAGAACTGTATTCTTAGCACGTTGGAAAGCGCTGAGACTACCAACGAATACGTCTCGCGAGTTTTGCGCTGAAACTTCCTGGTGTTCCCTAAGTATGTGACAACTCGTAGAAGGACGGGTGCTACTACTAGGTGCAGCAGAGCAAGCGACAGCGGCGGATGCTTTGTCCACCCTCACTGAACGTTGCTGGAGTTTAGGCGCGGCCTTAAAGTTTGAAGCGACTTGGAGGTGGAGAATGACGTACTTTGAGGATACGAACAACACGACGACGGGCCATCGTCGGGCAATGCTGGTGGTGAGACTCCGACAAAGGCAGGTGACGGTAGTAGAACCTGTCAGATCAGGTCCTTAGATGTCACAACCTAACCTGACATCAATGCACCTCAACTTCTACAACAGTATAAATCTCGCCAATCCTGTCAAAGAATTTGTATTTGCGGTGGAGTTGGTTTTGGTTTCAAGAATTTGTGGTAAACCTGTCATCTACAGAACTTTTTCTGATTTACGGATTACGGTGTATATGTTACACCGTTGGGGGAACTTACGAAGTTAGTCGACTCGACTTACCGAAAATCAACATGGGCTGATACATTCGGCTAGAACCCGTATGTTCATATGGGCGAACAGCTCGTGAAAGTTGGATGTATGGTGGAATCATTCTCGGCACGATTAACTCAGATCATTCGCCATCTCGCACGTGTACAATTTCCAATGGATGGGTTGACGATTAAATTTAAGGGATACACGGCGATATCGCCTAAAGACGAACATGTGCTGCTCGAACAGAAGAAGAACTACACAATACGTTTGTAGACCGAAAGCACCATCTTTGTCACCGCTGCCAGCATAAATTTTGGTAAAACTTACCGCAATATTACGTCGGCAATAAGTTATGTGTACGTTAGTATGACCGAATCTACCCGTCCTGGACGGCTCAGAATTGTGTCACTTTAAAATCATTCCTTTTACTTTCGAAACTGGAAGCAGACAAATCTCTTTGTGCCCTGGTGTGTGGCACTTGTGCACCACAAACTATGAGTTTTACTGTGATTGGGTATGAGTGTACCCTGAGACGGAGTGATTAGGAGGTTTGCCAACCGTCCAACCACAAATATGACTGCCTTAGAAGTTTCGAGAGAAAGCGTACTGCGGCTGCTGATTGGCCAATTACATACTCCGCGAGGGAGTGACTGGGTCACTAAAGCGGTCATCTGAGCATTCGGTCATCCTAATATAACCTGACCGAAGGTTCCTCGATTAGGCTAAAGTTGGTTTTATCCTTATTTGGAGAGGTTTTGTTCGGGACCTAGAAATGGTGGCGATTCGTACTTACGCGTACCTTCGTTCAGACTGACAACAGGGTGTAGAAGGGGGACCGACGAGTGTCCCACCGGGATGGGTTATACAAGGATTTTGTACAGGAGTAGGATTCATCAATTGATCAGCTGTAGAGAGGCTCTTAGGGCCTCTCATTATTAGGTAATAAAAAGCAGTTCTCCCCCACAGCTAACAAGGGTCAAGTCCGTCTTCGGTAAGTTTAGCTAACTTAACTTAGGGCCAGGATACGCCTGGTTGTGTGGATGCCGTTTGACAGACTTAAGGTACATTGAGCCAAGGGTCTCTGTAACGAGGTTACCCGAAACTCTAACCGTAACGCTAATTGGTTAGAGTTAGAGGTTTCCCGTCTTGGTGTGTTCGCACACCAAGACTGCATTTGAAGGGATCCTATTGGTAGAGTGCGCCACACCTCTACCAATAAGCGATGCGAATCACTGTCAGCCACCCGCTGACAGTCCCTTAGATATTCGATAAACAGTTTAGGAAGGAACACTCCTTAAAACAACAATACAGTTCGCATTTTACGCTATCGCGCTCTTATCCTGTCTTATCGTACACACGCATCGTGTGTACGCTATACAAGCTAGGAACACCCACCTCCTACACGTGCGCACACATGTAAGCTAACTAGTAAGCCCTAGGCCCACTACACCTGGTAGCACTTTGTAGTTCGTCCAACGGCCGACTTCACTGTTCGTATGACTTACGAACCTTCCGATGGACGGGATGTCTAATGGAAGCCCCAACACAGCTGCGACGCATCTGGTGCGTGCAAACTGCCATCATCTGGCGGATTCTGAGTGGGAGGTATTCCAACGACTGCCAACGGTCATTGGAAAGGCGGCCGTATCGACCATGCCACGCACACTATCGCCGACAGAGCACCATGGTGTTGATCTTGGGTTCATCCTGAGCGAACAACGCGAGGTTGCTAGTGTCACCCGGGGTGACACCGCAGAAGTAGTATCTGAAGTTACACGTGAGAACTACGAAGGCAAAGAAGATGATACGCTTATTCGTTGGCTAGTCGAACTCGACACTGCCATTATGGCTCGACGTATTGTCGACCCACTGTCGAAGGTTGCCTTCGCAATGTATTGTCTTGGCGAAGGAGCGCGGAGTTAGGTCTACGGGCTCCGACTCACCGATCCTAGGTGCCTCAGCACGTAGGAGTCCTTCGAGAAGGAGCTCAAACTTGCGTTTTAGCCCCCGAATTATAAATTCCGTCGAGTTGAACAAACCGCGCGACGGATCAGTAGGCGCAGGGCGCCCTACTGTGATGCAGTCATGCGTGTCAACAACGAACACGCGGAGAACTGCAACCTTCAGTGAGAGGAAGTCTCACTGCGACGTACAAGATGACGAAGAGAGCGGGTGCCATCGTGAAGGCCGAGAAGCGCGTTATTTGCGCACGCTTCTCGTACAAACACCGGGTGTTTGTGGAAAAGTTTCTCGTCCTGGACTTGGACGACATCGTGTTGATCATGCCGTGGCTTGCACGGCATGCCCTTCTAGGCGGAAGACTGGTATCATGGTCTTTGTTGACCGTTTCAGCAAGATGGTGTATCTCGCTGCTGTCGCGGCGGAGGTGACCTTCGTACAGATGGCACGTCTGTTCGTCGACATGGTGTTCAAGCAGCATGGCATGACCAGCAACTTTGTGACGGACCACGATCCGCGCTTTACGATGCGTTTCTGCCAAGAAGTGTTCCCACTTCTTGAAACGCAGTTCTCAATGTCGACTGCGGATCATCCGCAGACGAGCGGGCAAACCAAGCGCATGAACCGCGTGCTCGTGGACTTGCTGAAGAGGTACGCCCAGGCGATCCACAACTGAAATGATTACTTGCCGATGGTCGAGATCGCCATCAACAACGCGGTGCATGTCTCGACTGGGCATACACCGTGCTTTGTGAACGCCATGTGACATCCACGCCTTCCGATCACGCTCGGGACGATGGCTTCCTCCTTAAGTGGGGTAGGATCTACGGTTGCGCTCGAACAACCGCAGAATACAGCTGATACGGATCTAGCAGCTGCGCTGACTCGTGCGAGAGCGAGAGCCCGCACACGACAAGGCGACGTATCAGTGCGTTCACTGACATTGTGAAAACCCACGAGCAGGCGACATCTGCTTCGACCAACGAACAACGTGTCTGTGCGGTGCACACACCGCGAAGACTCACGCACAGACCGGGCCTGTTGCACGCACAAGAGATGTATCGATGCCGGGCAGCGATACTGAGCAGTCTCACACACAGGCTGGGCCTGCTGTGATCACACACGAGGTGTCAGTGCCGGGCACAGGCACCACAAAGAGCCACGCACAGCCTGGGACTGACGCGAACACAAGTGGCGGGTCTGTGCAGGGCACAGACGCGGACAAGGTCAAGAGCTGGACCCGGATTCAGCTCTCAAGCAATGGGCTTTGTCCAGGAACGGCAAGCTGTCATTCGGTTTGTATAAGATGCAATTGCAGCTTCTGCGCAATAGGCAGAAGATGAACGCAGACAATGTGGACAGGGGTAACACAAATTAATTCGAAGTTGGTTCATTGGTTTTGTTAGCTACTCAAAACCTGCCTACACAAGCAGTTTCCGGGCTCGGGGCAAGCAAGCTTGCTACGCGCTTCATCGGACCGTTCATGGTTGCTGAACGACACAGCAGCGCATATACGTTGGAACTACCTTCCGACATGATACTTCACCCAGCGTTCTACGTTGGGCACTTGAAACCCAACGTGCTGCCTGAGTCATCTAGCCGAGATGACTCGCCGACGACGACGCACGGCGGCACTTCAGCTTTTCGTCAAACTTCTTCACCTCCTCGTGAAAAAGGCATTTCTGCGGAATGGAGAAGTAAATTATTTCTACATGCGCATTCGTGGTACTTGCAATGGCGCGCATGATATCGACACTCCAAAACAAATGGAGCAGGCTCTACGGATATTCAGAATCCACGTAAAACGGTAGTCGGCATGACGCAAAATGGTCAGTTACTTTATGTGTGAAAGGCGTGTAATGCAAAGAATCCTCAGCTTCATTCTCAGACAGGTCGCACGAATCATTCACCACCCTAGATACCCCAACAAGAAGGTCCAATCCACTGTCATCAGACTTGCATACACCTAATCGACGAGGGCATTGGCACCAAGCAAGGCGTTGATACATCAGACGCCATCCCCAGAGGTACTGTGGTTGTCCCCTGACAACACGTTGAATCCTCCACAACTGTCGTCCCCGAGATCTTCCCCTTGGTCGCCATCGAAGAGCCAAGAAATGATCGATCCTGTGAAGACGATACTTCTGTCTCTGAGGTCACACCCGGAGGAATTTTCCATCGCTTATACCGTCCTGGTTGACTTTTAGAATGAAGTTATTGTTCAATGGTCAACGGCTTCAGTGGAAACACTCATACCCGATCACAGTATAGCTTATAGTTTGTGGTGCACAAATGCGACACACCATGACAATAAGAGCATCACCATCGGTGTTGAGTAAAACTAAACGCACATCTGAATCAGACTAAAACGTATAGAATCGTAGAGACTGGATAGTCAATTGCTTTACAAATCCAAGAAAAATACAAGTTTTGCGTAGATGTAGTCACAAATTGTACTTTCGGAAAAGATTAGAAGCATGCCATTTTCGGATGAAATCAATACCATAGGGATGAATTGCATTCCATATAGGATATAGGATGGATAACATATCACCATTATTGGTGAAAGCCTAACAGTTGTTTCGGTTACAAACTACATTTTCTCTTCAAATAGAAATATTCGTTTTTGGAAGGATTTCAAATTCCCTGATACCTTAAACGTAGACTTCTCCGCAAAAAATTTGCTTTTAGAGGGGTTTAAGTGGTATTTTCTTTCTAGATAACTGACATTTAGGGTGTAGCTTACTACGGTGTCAACTTGTAAGTTCCGTAGATGTGGACAGACTAGAACGAAAAATTGAAATAAACTTAGAGGAATCTTCTTGAAGATACAAACAAATTTAATCCCAACTCATGCGAAAAATTGTTTAAATAATGAGCATATCTCAGTGATCGCAAGAAACTGTAATCGTACCGTATGACTTGCGCGCGTAAGAAATGTTAGACAATCATTTGTTTCATCACTACAATCATTGCTGCAAAATGTGCCATTATCTTTTTGACCATGACCACCCGACACCGCAAAGAGACATTCTTGAAAACGTCTTCCATCAATGAAGTCGTTGTCATCAACGACCTTCACCGTGAAGTTACCGCTTGCGAAGCAGAATTCCGTGATATGCATCGCGTCATCGCAACGCGGCGTCAACATGAATCTGCACACCGTGAAGACCCACCACATGTTCAAGACTCGGCACATCTTTATGGTCGCTCACAAACTGCCGACGAAGATCAATCATGGGATGAAGTCTTCGGGAAATGGACAAATGACGATTTGATACTCCATGAGACTGCTGGTGGATACGAAGGTGACGAAGAGTAAACCGTTCCTGGTGAATGTGAAAGCAATACCTGAAACACGAGCCGATACTGGAATCGACGATAACTTTACTCGTACTATTAGTGTATTCCACACAACGGAAAAGACACGAGCTGTTTTAGACGGATTCGTTAATGTGCGCTATCATCGTCAAAACAACAATCGAGACACAGTTTGATTTTACTATACATGTCAGTTGTCAATCCAAAGCTATAATCAAGGAAAATGGGAAGGAATCCTTCATAGTGAAGGTGACAGCGATGTATAGTGCAATTGAAGCTCTTCTAGAAAACCAACGAGCAGGTATTCATAAGCCTTTAGGAAGAAGACGTGGAACAACGTGTTGTTGGGAGGTCAAGGTCCAGCAAAGTGTTTGATAACGCTAAAAATGAAGTACCAAAATGATGAGGAGATGTTAAAACTTCTTCCAGATCTTGTTGTATTCAAGATCCACTCGCAACAACTGCGATCCCGGAATGATTTTGACATCAATTCAACGGCGGATATAATGATCTGGGCGACACCTCCACTTTGCGAAACCAGGGAAGAGTTTTGTTACAAAATATGAAATCTGGATCGGACCCAAAGATGCAGCATTTATGTTTGTGCGTGCTCAAACAACGTTCGCATATACAAAATTACTATTGGTCGTGAGAGTCTTTGCACTGTTGGTTTTCGTTATGAAAAAGTATGGGGTTATGGGTCTATGGATCAAGGTGACGCAATTGCTGGTTCGTTTAGCAAGGTTTGGTCAGACATTGTGGTAAAGTGCGATCGAAATCTCGCGAGAGGGGCAACCTCGGCT